GTTCGTTTTGGCACGGTCGCGAGAAAACAAGAACACGGTATACAGGGTGGCCATACCTACCGATTTATCGGTAGTCCTACAGATTTTCGGGATGCCTACCGATTCACAGACGAAAGGTTCAAAACTACCGATTTTTCACTTTTCCTACCGAGAATCAGATTTTAAGAAATCTTGAAAAATGTTCAATACCTATGTTTTGTTTTCCGTGTAGTCAGTCAATTTGATCGAACGCGATGCGTTTTGCAACTTCAATCCGAACGGATGAGTTTTTTAGGTTTAATCGACTTTCTCTGTCTGTCTCAGAGTGGAGATGCTATTTTATGTTTCTCCCTTTTTTAGTTCCGTATTCCGTTCGTCCTACTAACACTTACTTGATATGATTATACTAGAGTCGGTGTATAATGAGTCACGCCAAGAGAAAAACAGTTGAACTCGCATCACGGTTTTCGAAAGATTCCCTTTCTTTTCACTTGGCAACAGAGGACTTCTACACGGGGGGTTTCTACCAACGTTAATTAACGGTCAGTGCCAGTCAGATTACCGAGAATTATACTCAGATTACTTTTCAATTAATTAAAATTACTTTTATTACTATAGATTACCGAAATTACTACGATTACTTGAATAATTTTAGGAATTACTTTGGAATTACTTTGAAAATACTAAATTATTCAATGGCTAACAACGTTTCCAACGATTATTAATAAAAATGAGCTGCACAGCATAAACCAAAACTGGAATCATGTTAAACTCATATTCCAAACTGAGTTTAAAAAAAGTTTCATTGAAAAATCAGAATTTGAAAGCTTTACTGTAAATACTGTATTGCAATATAGCGAGATTCGTCTGTTGCTTTTATTTTGATTGTGGATTTGGACATTTAACTTCACTGTCATGTTGTCGTCGATAAAAATTATTCGTATTTTTCTTTCATAAAGAACTGATGTACACTCAGAAACAAATTTAAACTAATTAGTATAAAAGTCACACTAAAATGATATTCGCCTGGTTGACCCTAGACTTCGTTTAGTTGCCTACAAAACGAGCCTAGTATAAACTTGAAGTATAAGGGGTATAGTATATCTATTGAATGTACATGCGTAGTTTAATACTGGTTTATCCCAGAAACGATTACCACGCCCCCCTAAGTTTGTTTTGGTTGTCGGAAGTGCTTTGGAAATCGCCCTTTTTAACTAGTCACATATTCAATTTTTCGACGTTCAGATGATTCCACATTTTAAGATTATAATTTACTTTATTTTACGAAAAATAAATCTCCGACACTTGAATTGTCTGCCAATGGAAACTTGGTAGCTACTTTCGGTAACTGAGTGTACAAAATTTTCATGATTGGCATCGCCGGTTCAGATGCCAGCAAAACTAGCGCTTTCCGAGAAGAAAAAGTGGCCACGATTCTACCCTCTCCGACTGTCGTGTTCCCAAGCCAATGTAACAAACTTAAACGCGTCTGATCCATATCTACAATCTTCCGATCGCTCTCCGACCGAATGATAATAATCCGAATGACTTCGGTCAACTCAAGAGGTCGATTCAGATTGTGAATCTCAATAAGAAATGCAAACGCACGAAGATTCTTTATCATCGGAAGCGGAGCACGTAGGTCGGCAGTCAGCAGAATCATTTCGTTTCCGTAGTCGATCAGTCGAATTTTGACCAGAGATTTAGCAGAGTCAATCTGAAAAATCAGTCAATACCATCACTCATTAGTTTCGGCAACATGCTATTGTCTTCAAAAGCTCAACGCACGATACATACCTTTTCCAAAATCACCACCCGGTAGTAGATGCCCTCATACGGAGCCGTATAGATGTCACCCACCAGTATATTATCGTACCTATCGATTTCCGTTCCGGATTAACCTGACCATTGATGTCACGCAGCAGCTTGTCGCACTGAGTTTCGTAATCTGCCAAAATTACCCAGCATCGCTTCGGTTGATCCGCCGGAAGGCACTGGACGACCACTCCGAACATCTCCCCTTCTGCCTTTTCCAGCATCGCCTGGCTTATCCACCACCACCACCTTCTTGTGTTTCTTGAGCGTTTCCAATTTCAACTTTGTTCGAACATTGACGCAGGTTCTCCCGATGCTTGGACCAGTCCCGGATCTGGCACACGAAGGAACACCTCGAGACAACGCTACACGTAAAATCAGCCGGCAGATGACAGAAACTGTTCCATTTCTCCATGATTGTTTACTAAAGAATACACTGGTCAAAATACTCTCGCACAAATCCGGTTTAGTTTAAACTATATACTGAAGATAGTATACTTTTTATACTAAGCTACGTGTAAACCTCGCGAATGACAAAAATGAATCAATTGTAAACTATCGATGACTACTAATATATCAGAGTGTAGATATCGAAACGAAACAAAAAATAGTAGAAATTCTTATTATTGATCATTGCCAAACGTATCCCACGACAATTTAATGCTCACTGCGTGATTATGATCATTTCTTCGATTGTATTTTATATTTTATTGCTATACCTTTCGTGAAGCTTCATAGCATCGTAATGTTTGTTTAATTTGCACGATAGGTAGCCGGTTTGACAGTTCAATAGGTAGACTTGGCTTCACTCTTGGCGTGACTCATTATATACCGACTCTAGATTAGAGAGATTAGACTATCCAATGTGTGAGGTTGAAGGACTGATGGCTCGGTTCGAAAGTCCAAAATTGCGCGTGATTTGTTTTCATCCTTCCCCCGCTCAGAAAGATTTTAAGTTTCGGAAAGCCTTCTTAAGACGGCCTACCGATAACTACCGATAAAAGTTTTGAGAAGCTACCGATAATGAAACAAATAATCTGGCCACCCTGACGGTATATCTAAAAAAAGCCAGTTGTCTCCTCTTTCTCTTATGTCGTTTTCGTTTTTGCGGTGTAGCTACACCGGTGCTACACTGCCGTACACCGAAATATTTTAGGGTGTAGATATAGGATGCACCTTTGTTTACAAACAAATGATGTTGAGCTGTCAAAGACTCGCGCTTATTCCTGCTTACACTACACCAGTGCTACACCGCAAAAACGAAAACGACATTAGCGAAAATTGAATGAACTAGCATTTGCTTCAACTGTCATTCACAAAACAAAACAAGGTAGCAATGGGCGACTTCGATTTTTTTCATCGTAAGTAGATTATAACTTTTTACTTCCACAAACTTTTTTTTCTTAATTCAAATATATTCCTTTTGTATAAATGTTAGAATAAGCTTTCGATTCCGAACGACGCCTTTCATGTATCAAACAAGTTGTGGAATGCATTTAGAAGCAAAAAAGTTCACTCACTGTGTTTGCAGTAGGTCATCAAATCGATATTGAGCTGGAAATACACAGCAAAAAATTATTTTGATATCACATCAAAGTGGATGCACTACAATCATGTCGAAAATTTCATGTAATTTTTATGACCACATAAATAAACAAATGCAGTAAAAGCAGCGTAATGTCAGTTCATGCATTGTATTAATGATAATTTTGTCCATTTTTAGCAAGTAATATTACACCATATTTTCGACATGATTGTAGTGCATCCAGTTTGACGTGATATCAAAATTATTTTTTTGCTGTGTAGGGCCTATCTACATTGGTCGATGAAAAAGACTTTCTCTTTCATTAATAACTCAGCTGCAAAAATATTTTTTTTTTAATATTTAACGATTTGGACGCGCAAACAGCATGAAAGTTGTATGCATAGCCGCGGGTATCAATAGAGAAAGTCATTGAAGAGAGTCGATAAATGCAGGTATAGAAATGTAATCAATGACTTTAATCGTTGATTTCTCACGATCAAAAGTAAATCGGGCAAACATACACTTCCAATTGAAAGAACAAAAAAAATCCTTTAATATTAAGTTAATAATTTTTGTGATAAAAATTCATTAATGACTTAGGAAAATTACACCAATTCATCGATGTTGAAATGTTGTGATTTTATTTTGACTCATTTAAATTACAGAAAACAGCCGTCCAAGCTTAGTCAGAAACTCGTTTATAGTTAAGTGGAAACATTGCCATGAAGTGGTGCTAGCATCTCCTGATTTCTTCTATAAATTTTCCATTTTGATTATATTTTCACTAGTGTCGATCAATTTTTTGTTGAAAATTGCCACAGGGGGCTAGTGGCATTTTGTAATTTGTGCAACGCTAGTGCCATCATGTTGTCAAAAAGGGTTTTTAAGATAGCAGGTCGGTGTTGGCGAAGCTTGAACGCATTGAAAATATTTATACTAGTTTTCAATCAAATTTTCCCCAGTTTCAACGTCTATTTTCTGTACTTTAATGTACTCATGCTATATTTAAGATATCAGAAATTTAAACAAAAATACATGTTGATGTGACGTCACGGCTGAACAAACCCCCCCTCCCCCACTTGTCACATTTGGTCACATTTTCTGAAACCCTCTCCCCCCCCTAGACGCGTGACGTAATTTATGGACGCTCCCTTATTGCAAACCAGACGTTTGATTTGAGAAAAGTAACTTCTTTTTCCACTATTTTTCAAATCAATATCAAGAAAAATGCACGAGAAGTTCGCTAAAAAGCTTAACGTAGTCTACGTCAACCTCACCAATTTTTTGCTGAAGGGCACGGGCATAAGTTTGCAACACAAGTAAATTTCTGAATATGTAAGTTATCATGTATCAAAAGTTGTTGAAAGAAAACGATAAATATTCTCCTCGCCGAAGCACGCCCGACTTTAGGATTAACACATTTTAACATAATTTATCACCATGACCGATGCAATTTTTCGGTGGAATTTCCTGAAAAGATTGTCTATTGGGAACAAATGCACGTCCAGCAAAATGCACAGCTTATTGCAGATTTCTTGTTGCGAACGCACTGCACGTTTGAACGTGCGTTCGCACGAAAACAAACCTCGGCTCCGACGGGCTATTTAAGCCACTCACTTTGCTACGGTAAACTACAGAACAGTAGAATCATTCCGATTTCGCACATTCATCAAGTGGATATGCGATCGTGTGCTAGCCAACGTGTAATGAAGGGACTTCGGATTTCGATAGTGATAGCCCTGGTGGCTCTGGCAAGCGGTGTAATTGAAGCCGGACAACACGATGCTGTATTGAAAAGTTTCAGCACATCGGGCGGTGAGTGCGGTCAATACCTGAACAACGATGGCAACGGAGAGTGCAACGTCCATTGCATTGGAATTGTTAACCACAATTGGAATGACATGCAGGCAAGCTTCACACGGAACTATGCTTACTTCTTCACTCCTGATGCGGACGACAAGTGCTATCAGAATCGTACCGATCGTTGTCTGGACCAGGTCTACTCGTCGATTCCCATCTACAACAAGTGTCTTCGGGCTCAGCAAGCAGGTCAGTGCTACAACGATCAATATGGTCAGCTGAATGCCAGCCTTCCGCACTATGTGCCAATGACGGATTTGCAGTACACCAGAGTTATGCGACAGTGTGCATATATACTGGGCCTTTCCGATTATCAACTGTCAACCATTGTCGAGCAGGGTGCCTACAATGCATCGGATGGAGCCTGTCTACTGCGGTGTACGGTGATGCGCATGGGACTTTGGCATGACAAAAAGGGGATTGATTTGGCACGAGCGACTATGCAGTGCGGTATTTATGGTGATAAAACGGCAATCCTAGACTGTCAAGCCAAGATTATGGCCGAAGAGTGTGACAAATGCATACAGGTTAAGCGCACAGCGCAGGAGTGTCTTAAAATGCACTACAAAGTTAACAAAAATCAGGATGGTCACTATTCGGTGGAACTTTATGGTACTTTCATCGAGATAGATACTTATTCTGGCAGCTCAGTCAATTCTAATGCTGACACCTATCAAGAATTAAGCTTACAAGTTGTGTCCTTCGGTTGATTTGTTTTGTGACTGTAGCTCTATGAATGGTAATCGGGCATCACATATACTGCTGAGATAATTGACGCTGTTTTAATCCATACTTTTATTCAAATCAGGTACAAAATTATAATTATTAATAAATGAGCAATGAAAAAAAAAAACAAAAATGAAACACTTTAGTTCACAATCTACCGAATGTCCTGCGCACTACAGAATGCCAGCTGGCGATGATTGCTGTGTTCGCGAGTGGACTGCATGAATATTCTTCTTAATCGAAAACTGGCGGACACTCCGAAAGACTACATTTTCAAATCAGGGATTTAGAATCTTGAATGAAAACATTTGTTTTTAAACAGTTCCTTAAACCACTATATTTACACATTTTTACATTTATTATTTCTTACTGTTGTTCTCGCATGACCAAACATGATCTTTAAGCGGTAGAAGCTTTGCGTACAATGATGGCTTCCCGTCTCCTGCACTGAACCAAAACATCCGCAATACTTCGAATGATTATTGCATTGTTCTGTTCGAACCCTTTAACAATATGCATTCGAATTTCGGATGATTTTCTTATGGTTGAATTCGTCGTCAGATGATGAACATCCATATGACTGTCATCCAAATACAGGATGATTTTCGTTTGAAAATTAGCTATAAAACATACGGTACTCAGATGACAAACATTTAAGAACAGTGTGACATGCAAGTGGTTTTAATTAGATTTATAATTTGATTATGTACAATTCCATACTGAATAGCCATAATAAGTCATTCCATCATGGATACAAAAAAAATTTGTGGTGGAGAAAACCTCCTCCACTACAAATTAGCTAAACATTGGTTTTCATCCTTTACCTTTGTTCGTAACAGCTCTGATAGCGATGCATATGCTTCCACCTCGTTTGTCAGCTCAGATCAGAAAATGACGTTCGATAGAATTATTTACATCATCGTTTTGAAAAATTTCCGTTATGGGGCTGAACCAATACCATATGCATTTCCATTTAGTATGACAGCCTTTCTGCAGAGAGCATTACACATTTCAACTGAAGGCCCTATCCCTTCTCATAACAAGTTTCATCCAGTATTTTTCAAAACAACCGTCATCCGGTTGCAGCTATCATTCGAAAAAGCGATTTTGGTCTTTTGTTTTGAATGGTTTGAGGTTTCATTCGGTCAGAGGATGATGTTTGTGTACAGTGTGGTGGTAGGGCGAGATGTTTTTAAGACAGGTGGGCAGGAACTCACGGTCTCCCAGTGTTGGTGAGTTCTTTGCCGTTAATTTTCTCGAAAAGTTCACTATTTTGCCATACAGAAATTCAAAACAAAAATTTTTATCTGCGGATTTGGACTGTTTTTGATCTGTTTCGTACGACCGGAAGGTGTATGCTGGTCACAAATGCCGTGCCAAACTGATTTCCTACTCAATTAATCAATCTTTGATGTGAATTTCACTAATAAACACGAGGAGCATTTCTTATAGCAAACTTGCCATAACAAAATGGGCATGGTTCATTTAAGTAAACAAACTAACACTTTTTCCGACTGTGGCACCTCTCTTACTCGCCTATAGGTGGTAGGGTTTATCCTCCTTTTCGAGCTTCCTCCTTCTCGTCTGGTTGCGACGTTCGTGTAACGGTACGTTGCTTTTTGGTGCATCTCAGGAGGCTGCGGCTAGGTCGCGGCGTTTGCGAACGGCTCGAATTATTCATATCGTCCGGCCATTTTCCACAGAGATGGCGCTGATCCGCTGGTAGGAAGTGATAAAAATCCTCATATAGAAATTGAGAGAAGTGGGAATAATTCGCTTTCGGTGCATATTCAGGTAAAAAAAAGTGAACGACAACCTAAATAAATTAGTCAGGGACTTTGTCGTTCAGTTTTGTCCCGGAAATTATTGTTAAACAAGCTACAATTAAATAAAAATCATTTTCCCCCATACAGTTTTACCTGCTTTACTACCAGTCCCCAGAGAGCCAAAAAATTAAAACTCGAGAGAGAAAATTTGCTCTCACTAGTTCAATTTCTCAACATGCCATGTATTTTGATGGCACTTGATTTGTGATTTCCCTCTCACAGACTACAAAATAGAGTACCTGACACTGCAAAACATTTTTTTTTTCTTGATTTGCTACCGACGCCAGGGAGGCAGCTCCCACACCTGGGCGGTAGGGCCCAGGTGTGGGAGCTGCCTCCCTGGCGTCGGTAGCAAATCAAGGAAAAAAAACTACAAGGGACAGCCTAATGGGGTTGTGCGCAATGATGACGTAGGACTACGTGGTATGATACAATAAATAGTTTTGTTAACTGCAGCAGGAGCTTGTGTTTTGTGTACGAATAGAAATTTTAGCGGGGTTCTCTCTGTTTATTTTCTTTAGTATGACTATGATTGCCCTCAGATTAACCAAGGCGCGTACAACCTAGGTGGAAACACACTACTTACCTGGAACTACCCCAACACAACAAATGAATGCAAATGATTGTCGGTACTGGATTAGTAGTGGTAGATCTCATACAAGTAACGACCACCTTCGGTTAAATCTAACAACCTTAAACTGAAAAAATCATCATTCGATCACATCACTACCACCATTCAAATCCCGACAAGAAAGTTAATCAAAAACACCTTTTTAATTCATTTGGTGGCCCTGAAAATGACCGTTTTTTTGTCTGAGTCGATGATGCTAATTTATCCTCCGTATCCGTACAGAGTATAGTCGCTATATTCATAGTCTGGCGGATAGAATCTCGGGAACCAATTGACTGTCAAATAGCGGCACCAATTGAGCAAATCACGACTAACAACAGAAAAGAGCACATCAGCTATTGCGAACAAAACGTCGGAAACCATTTTCAAGGCTCGCCTACGCAAACTAATATCATCTTTGGGTTGTGGAAAGTTTCCCTTATCCGGTGATGCCGGTAGTTTGCGTTCGATTGGCGTGGAAAGAATAATTTACGTTTGTTTATAAATGTTGATAGTACCTTTTCCATTGTTGGTCTAAAATATATTGAATTGATTCCACTTTTTGATAGATCGAAATTCTATCCGCCAGACTATGAATATAGCGACTATAGTACAGAGTGCGTCCCTGCCGCTTCAAAGCGTAAATGACATCCATTGCGGTGACGGTCTTCCTCTTGGCGTGTTCGGTGTAAGTAATGGCGTCACGAATAATATTTTCCAAAAACACCTTCAACACGCCTCTGGTTTCCTCGTAAATAAGCCCGGAAATTCACTTGACTCCACCACGACGAGCCAGACAACGGATGGCAGGTTTAGTTATGCCATGAATGTTATCACGCAGCACTTTTCGATGACGCCGAGTTCTTTTCCTCCCTTGCCGCGTCCAGTCATTGCCAATTAATGGTAGATGTATCTTCAGTGAAGGTTGAAACGAAAGTGAACGAAAATTCTTTTTTGACTTTTGACTTAAATGATCTATATTTCTTGAATTTGTGTGGTTTACATGTATAACTTATCAAGTGACACAGATGCGTCTTTTCAACTTTAGTTCCTGTGAAATTTCAATTATTATTAATTACAGTTCCTAGTCCTATCAGGCCTGTTTTAGAGAATGACCACCTTGGTGGGATTGGTTTGTTTGAAAATTTGAAAAAGGAGACTACTTATAACTACTATTTACAACTACAACTAACCTACAACTACTATGTACACCTAACCAACTATATACAAATTGCTTATCAAAGCATGTTCTGATAAATTACATTTTTGTGCAAATTTAGTCTTAATTTCGTTAATTTTGGAATCTATTTTGGCAATGCCTGCCTCTTCATGTAAATTTGTTATTCTAGTGTCGAAAGGACGATCAAGAACCATCCTCAGCACTCTATTCTGAGCGACCTGGATTTTGTTCCTGTGAGTCTGTGCACATGATTCCCACACCGGAGCTGCGTAGAGGATCGCAGGTTCTATGATTTGTATTTGTTTGTAGACGGCCAGTTTGTTCACCCTTGAGAGGCGGGATCTGCGGCAAATCAGCGGATACAGACACCTAACCAAGGCAGAACACTTGATTACGGTTTTCTCCACATGCGAACGGAAGAGAAGCTTTTCATCGAACAACATCCCGAGATAGGTTACTTCGGTGGACCACTCAACCCTTGTGCCATCCATGATTACAGTACAAGAAAGAGCCGGTTTTAGTTTGGGTGATTGTCGATGGAGGAACATGATTGTTTGTGTTTTGGAAGCATTGATTTTGATTTTCCACGTGGTGGTATAATCAGCAAAGGCGTTAAGGCATCGTTGAAGTTTGTTCGTTATTTCGCGAGGCATCCTTCCTTTGACGGCTATTGCGGTATCATCTGCGAACAGGAAAAACACGCAACCGTCTCCAAGGGGAGGAATGTCGGAAGTGTAAATGCTGTAAAGCAAGGGGCCCAGCAGACTGCCTTGCGGGACTCCTGCTGGGATGGAAAACGTGTCGGAAAGACAACCATTCAACGATACCTTAAACGACCTTTGCTGGAGGTAGTTACGGGTGATTTTAATAAGATGTAAAGGAAAGTTGAAGTTACAAAGCTTGTACACAAGTCCATCATGCCAAACATTGTCAAACGCCTTTTCAACGTCTAACAAGGCCATGGCTGTGGACTTGGATACAGCTTTGTTACTTCGGATGTTATTCATCACCCGTACTAGCTGGTGATTGGTGGAGTGCCCCTTTCTGAACCCAAACTGTTCCGGAAGGAGAATGTTATTTTCCTCGACAAACTTGAGCAAACGATTGAGAATGAGTTTTTCGAACAATTTGCTCAGCGCTGAAAGGAGGCTGATTGGTCTGTAGCTTGAAGAGAATGTTGGATCCTTACCGGGTTTGCGGATTGGTATGATTTTTGCTACTTTCCAGATGCTTGGAACGGGTTTGGGATGATTTTTCAGGACCTTGGCTACCTTCCAGAATGGTCTGGAGCGGTCATCCAGATTCTGGACAACACGCCCGAAACTTTTATTTCGGAGTGAGTCCATTCTGGAAGCAATCTGCCTATTCAGATCGGCAATTTCACGTTTTTTGCCCAGGTCTCCAGTCCTCTGAAACTGGCGTCTACGAACATTTCTCAACCGAATCA